CACACACACAATAAATAAATAAATAAATGTTTAAAAAAATTATTTAAAAAAAAATTGTAAATCTATATCTGTTTTGCAGTTGATAAACATTTGGGTTGTATCTCCTTTTTAGCTATTACAAATAGTGCTGTTACGAACACTGGTGTGTAAGCTTTTGTGTGAACATGTTTTCAGTTCTTTTGGGTGTGTACTGAGGAGTTCAACTCCTGGACCATAGGGTAACTGTGTTACCTTTTTGAGAGTTGCCATACAGTTTTTCAGAGCAGCACCATCATTTTATATCCCAACCAGCAATGTATGAGTGGTCGGATTTCTTCTCCCTGTTGACACTTGTTGCTCCTGGATTTATTTCAGCCATGCTGAAGGGTGTGAAGTGGTAGCTCACTGAAGGTTCGATTTTCATTTCCTTACTGCCGTTGAGCACCAAGTGCCAGCTTCTTGGTATGCTTTTTTTTGTGCCAACAGCTACGGGTTCCCTCTTGAAGTCTCTCCTGGGCTCCTGTTCACTGCCTGCTTGAAATTAGCAGTTATTTTCACCTCTTGGAGACTATTTGATCCCCCTTAGTGTGGTGATTCGGAGGGACCATGAGGCAGGTTCTGATGGCCGGGCATCTGTGTGTCTAGGACTCAAGGTCAATATTCTTTCTGTCAGCAGGTCTCATTGCTATGCGCGTGGCACAGCCGTTGTTGACTCACCAGACAGCTGACAAGGTCAGCTTCTCCAGGTTATCTGAGGAGGTGGTTCTGGTGTGGAAGTGGTGTTGAGGAGCCATCTCTTCTGTCCTGCAGCAGGACAGACCTCCTCCCCTCCAGATTCTCCGAGGGAGAGTCTGTAACTTACTCCTTTAAAAATTCCTCTGGAAAGAAGTACTGCTGGCCTCGTTTACCACCAGCAAGTGCTTCAGCAGCCTTTTGTGCTGAAAAATTGTTCTCACTGACCCAGATCTCCTTCGGCAGCATGGAACAACTTCCTCTCAGAAGATGTGAGAAAACATTTCTCCCTTGGAGGGCCTTCATCCTCTGGTCAGATGGAACCACTCTGGCAGAAGCAGCTCTCACACAAGGGTCTACAGGCCTGGCCAGGCCCCTCCAGCACATTTTTAAGGCAGAATGGCCTTGGCTGTTGCCTGGGCAGCCTGCTTTGAAACAGAGACCTTCTGACAGGCACAGGTTGTGTGTTTACCCTGAGGCTGGACCATTCCAAACTCAAGTTTCAGAGGCTGTGTCCAGCAAGCCTAGTGGGTGGTAATCAAATGTAGGTAGAGACCATCTGGCTGGGCCTCTCCCTCCCTGACAGCAACGTGAGTGCTGGCCTGCCCACCATGGAGTTGGCCCCAGAAGCCCCTTTGTGGAGACAGATGGTGTGCATGTGTGTGTGCACAGTCAGGCTTGCATATGTGCAGCCCTCATTAGTGAGGTGCTGCTAGGTAGATGTGAATTATACTGCAACCTCTTTCTGAATCAGAATCCTTGTGCAGCCCACAAGGAACATACTCCTTTTAGTCTGTTTCTCAAGTTTTTGTGGTTGGAAATCATATATTTTCCTTGGCTCAAGATTAAAGCCTGGAATAATGGTCTAATATGTTTTACATAGCTGCCTCTAATTCATGGCTGCTTGAAATTTTCCCTTTGCCCTGGTGACCCATCTTTTGTAAAATTTTAGAGTCCATCTTTCGTTACTTCCAACTTTTCACATCCCTTCCAAACGAGCCTTAACAAAGGCAGTTTCTGCAGCCTTGGTTTGTGTCGATTTGCTCTCAGCATTGCTCAGTTGTAGGGAACCCAGGCAGAGCAGTTCAGCAAGGAAATGAAATAGCTTAATTGGTTTTACTTCCAGCATGATCTCCCAGCCAGATCTCCAGAACTTCATGCTTGTTGTTAGAGAACCAGAGAAGATCCTTTTTTTTTTTTTTTTTGAAAATCCTATCGATGCTTCTTTAAAATATAGTTAGGAGCTGGCATGGTGGCACAGGCCTGTAATCCCAGCACTCAGGAGGCTGATGCAGGAGGATGGCCGAGAATTTGAGGCCAGCATGGGCTACATAGGGTACATAGTGGAGCCAACCTGAGCTGCGCAGTGAGGCCCTGTCTCTAAATAAATAAATACACAAATAATAAAGAATACAATTTTTGGTTTGAAAGAGGTTGAACTTAGTATCTATCTCATAGGTGATCTTCCCCTGCACAGTGCAGGAAGGCCGGCTTCCCCCAGGCACACAGAGCCAAGGCTAGGACTGTGCCAGTGTCTGAGACCATGGGCTCTCTCTCTGTCAGTCTCCTAGCTGTCTTTTGGGGATAATGATGAAGGAAAGACTCCATGAGAAATTCCAGGGTTGGGCCTTGGCTGCATCATCAGCCCTTGAGAGCTCTCCTGATATCCTGTTTAAGGAGTTTGGCTAACAAGGTGTCAGCTGTAATCTTAGCTTATGGTTTGTATTTATATGCTGGAGAGTATACACATGTATAACCATTGTGCCTCATGTTTGCACAAGATATAATTACTGAAAATTATATCGTGAACATGTTTGACATAGGCTGGCAAGCCTCAGGGGCACTTGGGAACTCCCAGTGGTTGCCATCCTGACCTGTGGAGGTTGTGGCACCCCCAGGGTCCCTGCCTCTGATCCACATCTTTGCCCCCTGGCTGCATTCCATTGCAGGATCTTTCCTGAGAGTTGGACATCCTAGCAGGAAGCTGGAGGGAGGCATTCCCAGCTTACCTCATTGTCACTGTGAGGAGATGGCCACAAAAGCCATAGTTCTCACCACCGGGGGTCCCCAGAGATGGGAAGGGAGGCGGGGCATGTTTCTTCTGCTCCGTGATTGAGGCATGCTCATGGAGAGCAGTGCTGTTTGATGTGAATGTGTGGGGAGAAAGGGTCTTACCCTCACAGAGCACAGGGCTGTCTTGGTTCCTTAGAACTCATTATCTTAACCATTGTAAGTGGGTGCTGAGCAGCAGCTTGAAGAAGTAAGGAGTGTAGATGAGGAAGATTTTCTGTAATGAGCCTCAGTCATACAGAAAGGAATGTTGTAGAATCACAAAACCCCGAGCTCCTAATCAGAGTGCGGGGGTGGGGGCAGTTTGGCTGCCCAGGCTACCTGGGCTGCACTGCACAGGTGGAGGGCAAGGCCTGCTCTGCTTTCCTCCGGGCTTTCCAGGCCCTTCTCTCTCTTGTGCTTCTCCCCCAAGTCCCAAACTAGAGGGTTTGCATGCGAGACCACCACACACAGCAAGAGCTTTCCTCAGACTGTTAAAACAGTGCTTCTCGGGGCCGGGGAGATGGCTCAGTGGAATAAGTGCTTCCCTGGCAAGTGCAAGGGGCTGAGTTCAATCACTGGTTCTGAAAAAACAAAAAACAAAAAACAAAAAACAGTGTTTCTCCTAAGGTTGATTTTTTTCCCCCCTCTTTATTCCTTTCAGGTTTACAGGAACAGATGGGCCTAGTGGTTTTGGCTTTGAGTTGACTTTTCGTCTGAAAAGAGAAACTGGGGAGTCTGCCCCACCCACATGGCCAGCAGAGCTAATGCAAGGCCTGGCCCGATACGTGTTCCAGTCAGGTAAGAGCCCAGAAGCTTGGTTGGTTTTGGGAACTTGCAGGTGTAGATGTGTCTGCGGTGTTTTTCTGTGGGAGGACTATATCCCTGTTGTGTGGTGAGGGTGGCTTGTTTTACCTGGTCTTCCCTGAGTGGAAATCTACGTGGGCCATAACAGAAAGAGCTATGTCACTGTGTCCTCCTGCTTCTAGTGGTCTGGTGTCCCCGCTTCTCCCCTCCCCTCCCCTCCCCTCCCCTCTCTTCTTCTGTTTTTCTTTCTTTTCTTTTTTTCTTTCTTTTTGAAAGAGTCTTGCTTTGTAGTTGAGGATGGCCTTGAACTTACCATTTAGCTAAGGCTGGCCTCAAACTCAAGGCAGTCCTCTTGCCTCAGCCTCCCAAGTGCTAGAATTACAGCTATGCACCATGCCTGACCTGTCCATATTTCTGAGGCTACAGGCACAGTAGAGGGTGGGATAGAGAAGGGAAAGAATTCCAGAAACTTGCTGCCCCACAGGGTGAAGGGAAGCTAGAATCAGGCAGGGCCTCAATTGTCAGAAGTGTTTGGTCAGGGATATAGCTCAGTGGCATAAGCGCCTGCCTGTAGTTCCACACTTGGGAGGCTGAGGCAGGAAGAGTACTC